AAATAAGCTAGGGTCAAAATGAGATGATTCAAAACCAATGGCTGGAAGATAACCTGTGAATTTGGCATTCCAAGCCCTTGGAGCTTGCTTAAGACCTTAAAGAGACTTTTGTAACTTGCAAACGTAACTGAGATATTTTGGATCCTCAAAACCTTGTGGCTGACACATATAGACTACTTCCTCAAGATCACCATGTAAAAACGGGTTCTTAACATCAGGTTGACGGAGTGACCATCGATTCATTGCTGCAATACTTAATATCAACCTTACTGTGGTGTGTGTAACCACAGGGCTAAAAGTTTCACTGAAATCCAATCTAGGAGCTTCGCTAAAGCCTTGGGCAACTAATCTTGCCTTATATCTAGCCAAAGTACCATCCGAGTTTTTCTTAATTCGATATACCCATTGACAACCAACAATATTTTTATGAACTGGTATAGGAACTAACTCCCAAGTACCCTGAGCATGTAATGCCTCAATTTCGTCCTTCATAGCTTGAATCCAATGAACAGATTGAGAAGCAACCTTATAAGTGCCTGGTTCAGCAGCATCATGTAGAACAGGAAGAGTGGTATGATAGCACTGATAATCTTCAAACTGTTTAGACTTAACGATACCTGCCTTTGATCTAGTCTGCATAGCATGAGTGTTAAAAGAAGGAGACACAGAACTAGAGATAGAAGGGGAGGCAGGCAAGAGAACTTGTAGTTTCTAATCATTAATCACAGATAAGACTGAATCACTGGAAGACAAGGCAGGATTCTCAGTAGATTCTAAAGATGAAATAGAAACACTCTATGAACTATGATTTTGTGAAGAAACATGTTGAGGAGATATAGAACCAGATATATCACTAGGATTTAAGACTTGTATACATGGAGGAAGTGAAACACAAATTGGTAAAGGCTGAGTCTTGGAAGAGCATGAAACTGGAATTGAATCTACTGAGATAGAATGAGACTTAAAAGGAAAAATAGTTTCATCATGAATGACATGTCTGGAAACAATAAACCTTACGATGGATCTATTGTAACAAATGACCCCTTTATAACCTTGAGAATATCCCATAAAAACACATTGAGCTGTTCTTGGCTGAAGCTTATGTTCATTATAAGGTCTGAGATATGGGTAAGCTGCAGTACCAAAAATCCTAAGAGATTTAATATCAAGAGCCATGCCATACAAGCTTTGAAAAGGAGACTGATATCTTAAAACTGAACTAGGCATAAGATTGATGAGATAAGCAGCATGAGCAACTGAATGAAACCATAACTTATCAGGAAGAGCAGCAGCAACTAGTAAAGTAAGAGCAGTTTCGATAATATGGCGATTCTCCCTCTCTGCCAAACCATTTTGCTGAGGGGTGTATGGACAAGAGAGCTAATGAATTATCCCTTTTGAATCCAAAAAAGAAGAAAATTGCCGACTAATGAACTCACCACCCCCATCACTTTGAAAATACTGAATAGAAGGCTTAAACTGATTAGTGACAAGAGCATAGAACTTGAGAAATTCGTCAAACACTCCAAATTTATTAAACAATGGATAAAGTCACAAGTAACCAGTACACTCATCAATGAAACTGACATAGTATCTAAAATCATCTATAGATTTATGTTGGGAAGGACCCCATACATCACTGTGTATTCGCTGAAAAGGAACACTAGACTTAACATGATCCTTAGGAAAAGAAAGCTTGTGTATTTTACCATGTAAACAAGCGGTACATAGTGCTTGAGAAGTATCAATAGAAACAGATAAAGCAAAATCTTGAAGCATTCTTTGCACAACGGTATTTGTTGGATGCCCTAACCTTTGATGCCAGATAGAGATGTTGACATGTTGTCCAAGATATGCAACTGGAGCTGAAGAAATAGAAGAAACACCTTGAGATCTTTGAGAAGCAGAAAGAGGAATAGGATATAAACGTGATTACTCTTGCCTTGAAGAAGAATTGCCTTGGTTATCTTGTCCTGTATATTAAAGCCAGAGACATCAAATGTTATAACACAATTATTGTCTTTACACAGTTGACGGATGGATAATAGATTTTCTTTGAGCTTAGGAACATGCAAAACAGAAAAAAGATGCAGTGAAGTAGATTGGGCACAAGAAATAGTAGTAGTGCCAAGATTATGAATAGTCAAACCTGCCCCATTGTCAACAGTGACATTCTCATCAACAATACAAGGAGTCACATGATCCAATTGAGATGAATTGCCAACCATATCATGGGAAGCACCACTGTCTACAATCCAGACGTGCTCAGGAGAGAAAGAAGTCTGAGCAGTCATAGCATTCAGAGAAGAAGGAGGTGCTTGGCCCTGAAATGAGTAGTTTGACTTGTGGAAACGGTCAAGTGCGCCATGCCTACGTTTGCCACAGATTTGGCATTCAACAACACTGGAAGTGGAAGAGAAGGAATTGGCATGACGGTAATAGCTATTAGTAGCTGTATGTCCACGCTTGCTGCAAATTTGACACTCAAGCACCACACGAGATCTATAGGAATTAGAACAACCATGAAAACCAGAAGTACTACCACCCCGAAACTGAGAGGAGACAGGGCGACCAGCATTAAACCTTCCACGACCAGAGGTTTGTGTAGAAAAACCTCAAGAACCAGAGGCACGAGAAAAAGAAGGCAAAACGTCACTTTTGGTCCTTGTGGTTTACCACTTTTACCACTAAGGTCCCTGTGGTTTCAATTTGATCACTTTTGCCCTTGTGGTTTCAATTTGAAGCAATTCGAGGACAATCCTTAACTTCTGTCAAATTCTTCTAACTTCTGTTACTTATTAAGGGGCAATTTGGTCCAAAAATTATTAAAAGATTTCTTCCTTTTTTAAATAAACAATATAAATATAAATTTGTAGGGAAATTAGTTTTAAAATACAATAATAAAAATTGCTCCTTGCAAACAACGCTTTCTCTCTCCAAAAAACAAAAAAACAAAAGGACTAAGTACAGTAAACCCCCCAACCTATAGGGCCATTTTCAAGTACACCCCAATCTATCGACAAATTACAATTACATACACAACGTCACGAAATATTACAAGCGAGCCCCCTCCGTTAGCGAGATCGTCAGAATAGCCGTTAGCTGCCTACGTGGCGTCTAGTTGGACATTTTTTAAGGGCATTTTCGGCATCTCAAGTCCATGGGTTTCGCGCCAACACAACACATGGCGTTTTTTAATTCAAAATAAAAAAACCCCAAATTGATTTGCAGATTCTCGTCCAGAGCCCCTCCCCTCCCCACGAAAATCGATTTCCCCCCCAAATCGAAACTTCTTCCCCAAATTGAAACCCAAACCCCATTTCGTGTCGATCGAAAGCGCACAGAGAAGGCTGGGTTGCTGTAAGTCGAGATGGCGTGGAGTCGTCGTCCTCGTTACTGTAAGTTGCATGTGGTTTTATTCCTTCTTGCTTTTTGGTTTTGTCGTACAGAGGTTGCGGTTTTGTATTTTCTGAACCTGTGATTTGCTTTGAAGTGTGCTTGAGAGTGATATTTGTGGTCCATGGTCCATTTCTGTCGGTGTTTTGTTGGAAAAGCATAAAAGGTCAATTTCTGTCGGTGTGTTGTTGGAAAAGCATAAAAAAAAAAAGCACTTTGTTTGTCAGACCAAACTGCTTTGGATTCTAGACAATACTCAGTGGTCCAAAACGTGTGCATTTGTTTATGTCCTTGTGTATTCACCATTGCTGTATTGAACAATTGTTTTGTAGGTGAAGATGATATGTTCACTATTCGAATGAACCATGGGGGTTCTATATGTGACAACCTGTATGTAAATGGGACTGTGGACTTCATTGATTTTTGAGATAAGGACCAAATGTCTATGTTTGAAATTGGTCTGATGGTTAAGGAGTTAGGCTATGATGGTATAGTGTTATATCACTATGAGCTTCCCAACTCTTCTTCTGTAGAAAAGCTTCTCTCTGATGCAGATGTTATGAAAATGTGTGAATGTGTGCCTAGAGTGAGGGAGATAGATATTTATTTGACACAGTTGGCTGATGACCCTTATACCTTTTTAAATAAACACAGAGGTAGAGCTGCAAAGGGTGGAAGGTTTCGGGGTACAAAAACAGAGGTCACTGGTGATTGAGGATCTAGGATATGCTGATTGTAGTCCTGTTGTTCTTTATAACAGAAAGAGCAATGTTGAGCAGGCAACTACATATCCTAAGCCACATAAGGTGAAGATAGTGGAGCAAGAAGCAGTGAATAATGTTGGGGATTTTTCAGAACCTGAGGCACCAAAGAAGGGAAAGGGTAAAACAGTGGCTGCACCTGAGGCACCAAAGAAGGGAAAGGGTAAAAGAGTGGCTGCAACTGAGGCACCAAAGAGGGGAATGGCTACAAGGTCTTCAAAGGGTAAAGCAGTGGCTGCACCTACGGTGTCAACAAGGGGAAAATGTAGAAAGTCTTCAAAGGATAAAGGGGAAGATAGTGTTGACAGTGACTATGGGGGGGATAACATTGAGGAGATGGCTGAGGAACACAATTTTTTGCAAAAGTGGATTACAGACCTTGCCCCAGTTGAAGATACTTTTCGGCCTCTTGAAGATGAAGAGAGAAATGAGGGTGAAGGTGGTTGTGTTAATGAGGGTGAAGGTGGGGTCCGTAATTTAGACAACTTGGTAGGTGGGGACCAACCTTCACAAACTGGTCAAAGTGGGGACCAACCTTCACAAACTGGTCAAAGTGGGGACCACCCTTCACAGACTGCTCAAAATGAAGACCATTCTTCACACACTGGTCAAAATGAAAACCACCCTTCATAGACTGGTCAAAACAGGGAGCCGCCTTCTCTGACTAGGCAGTTTGAGTATACAGATCTTCAAGACACCAGGTTGGAAGAGGGGGATCAAGCAGTGGAGGATTAGTTTAAAAGTGTTCATTCAGATGAAGATGATGAAAGAGATGCAAGGGGGAAAAAATTCAAACACTATAACCATGAAACAGACAAAGAAAACCCTATATTTGATACTGGAATGATATTCAGTGACGCCAAGGTTTTTAGAGAAGTTGTTCGTGAATATTGCTTGTTGAGTGGGAAAGAAGTCACTTTCACTAGGAATGAAAGGTATAAGCTGAAGGCAGTGTGTAAGGCAGTGAGTTGTCCATGGCAGATTTATGTGGCTTCGAAAAACACTACAGATCGAAGCTTGGTGGTGAAAAACTATAATCCTAGTCACAATTGTGTGAGAGTTTTTGCTAACGCACAAGCCTCACCTAAATGGTTGAGAGATAAGTTCCTGCCTAGGATTCAGACAAATCCCACAATGCCTCCACAGTCTATAGTCAACTCAGCCTTTTCTGAGTTTAAAGTAGGTATATCAAGGATGAAAGCTTACAGGGCAAAGGCAGAGGCGCTTCGACTCATTGAAGGAACGGTTGCTGAGCAATATGCCATGCTCTGGGATTATTGCCATGAGCTGGAAGACAAAATCCCTGGCTCTACAACAAATATACACTGTGAGTCTGTTCATGGTGAAATAGTTTTTAAGCGATTGTACATTTATTTAGAACCATTAAAGAGAGGGTTTAAGATGAACTGCAGGCCTTTTATTGGGTTAGATGCTTGCCATTTAAAAGGGGTTTATGGTGGACAGTTGGTTACAGCAGTTGGGATCGATCCCAATAACGAGACTTGGGTGATAGCATATGCTGTGGTTGAGATGGAAACAAGGGAGTCATGGACATGGTTCATTGATCTGTTGGCCAAGGATGTGGACATTGTTAATTCACATGGATGGGCCTTTATATCTGACAAGCAAAAAGGACTGGCTGGTGCATTTGAAGACCTTGTGCCTAATGCTGAGACAAGATTCTGTGTGAGGCACCTTTGGGATAACTTCAACAAAACTTATAAAGGTCAAGTTTTGAGGGATCAGTTATGGAAGTGTGCTAGAGCTACCAATGTGCCTTCCTTTAAGTATCAAATGGAAGTAATGAAGACCTTAGATCACAATGCTTGGGAGTGGCTTGCTGAGAAGCCGCCAACACAATGGTCTAAGTCTCATTTCAGAACACTTATTAAGTGTGACATGCTGCAGAATAACTTGTGTGAAAGCTTCAACAATACTATCAAGGCAGCAAGGGACAAGCCAATTATCACAATGCTGGAGATGATCAGGTGCTTGTTGATGAGAAGGATCCAGTGGAGGAGGGACAAGATGAGCAGTTGGCCTCATAGGATATGCAAGAACATTTTTGACCATCTGCAAGACAAAAAATTAGAAGCATGCAACTGTACTGTGCAATGGTTTGGTGGTCCTAAATATCAAGTGGATGCAGGAAGAGGGGACCAATATGTGGTAGATTTGGATATCCACACTTGTTCTTGCAGGAAGTGGGACTTGTCAGGCATTCCTTGTGCTCATGGAATTGCTGCCATACATTACAAAGGAGGGCAAGTTGTGGAGGATTATGTGCATTCTTACTACAGCAGGGACAGTTACATGGCCCTTTATACCAATCTGATTATGCCAATTAATGGGTCACAGATATGGGAGAAGACAAACCAAACAGCAATAAAGCCACCAGCCTACACTAGACAACCTGGAAGGACTAGAAAGGTGAGAATAAAAGGACCTGAAGAGAGAATAGATAAGACTGGGAAAAAATGGTTGGGGAGACAAGGAATGCAAATGAGGTGCAGTGTTTGTGGCTCAACTAGCCATAACAAAACCACTCACCATCGAAATCTACCTCCAAAGGATAAATCAAGGGGTAGAGGGAGACCAAGAAACATACCTAACCAAGACCCTGCAATTGCTGCTGTCAGTGCCTAATCTTATTCCTAGCCTATTCATAAAACTGTTTTCGTGTTTGACACCAATGGAACCTGAAACTATTTTTTTTTTTCTCTGTAGGAAGAAGCAAAAGTAGCTGCAAGAGCAAGGAGAAAGCTTGCATATGGAAGGGCAAAGGCTGCTGCTGTTGCAAAGAAGGATGCACTAAATGCTTCCCAGCCAAATGCAGCTGATACTGCAGGAATTGGATTGGGAGCATCCAAGAGACAGAGAACATAGTTTATGCCATGTATTGTATTTTGAACTAGTGCAGCTTTTGGTTTTGTGATGTGGCCATTTTGTCAACTTTTGGTAAACTCTGTATGTATTTTGAATTGGTTATATCCCAATTTAGGTGATCAGTCTATGCATTATTGAGCTGCAAATGTTTGCAAAGTATGTATGTATTTTGAACTCAATATATAATGGATCATGCCTTGAGGCAAACAGTCTATGCATTTGGAAATTGCAAGAACATTTTTCATACATAAACATGTTTCATACAAATTGACATGGGAGATTACACAACAAAACGCATTTCATACACATAAAGCACTTTCATTTGCCAAAATATCCCACAAATGGCCACAAAAAACATCTCCCAAGTCTCCTAAATTCTAGACCCTAAAATTGAAGTGCTAATTTCACATTCTTGGAAGATCCAGCGTCTCTCCATTCCAGTACTAGCATTCCCAACAACACAATCAAAAATATCCAAGAACCCATAACACTTGCTAGTAGAAATCTCCGTGCTTTCAAGCCAGCTCCAACCTCTATTTTCAATTTTCGGTTTTCCTCTTCTTCCTTACGTAATCGTTTCAATAGTCCACATATCACAATCTTCGACCTCTCGCATACCTGTGGATCATACCATTCAAAGAATGCACAACCTCTTCTTACCCCATAATCAGCGCAGCCCCAAAATCTTCTCCCATGGTTGTTGTCAGTCCACGATGTCGTCAGCCGACATTGATTGCCGCAATGGCAAATTCACGGGCCCACTTCGCATCTTCGATTCTCAGACATCGTCGATCTCGTCGACCTCGTCGACATCGTCATCTTCGTCTTCTTCGACTTGGAACCTAGCCAACGACTTCTGTCGATTTGGGGCTTAGGGTCTGAGGGGTTGTGGGGGTGTTTTGATTTGGGGGTTTTTTTATTTTAAATTAAAAAACGCCACGTGTTGTGTTGGCGCGAAACCCATGGACTTGAGATGCCGAAAATGCCCTTAAAAAAATGTCCAGCTAGACGCCACGTAGGCAGCTAACGGCTATTCTGACGATCTCGCTAACGGAGGGGGCTCGCTTGTAATATTTCGTGACGTTGTGTATGTAATTGTAATTTGTCGATAGATTGGGGTGTACTTGAAAATGGCCCTATAGGTTGGGGGGTTTACTGTACTTAGTCCAAAACAAAACTCAAAACAATGGATTCAACTAGCTTCTGCCATCAACGATTGCCGTCGTCGTATTGGTACCTCGGCTTCTTCTCGTCCTCGCCGCCCTCCTCCGCCGCTGGCGAGGAGCTAAACGAGGCCGCGTTCTTCTAGACCACCGACTTCACAGAGTCCAGCGACGGCAGAACCCCCAGTTCAGTTTGACTCGGAATTGTACTGGAAGCCCGCGCTCTCTTTGTCGTCATCGTCGAAGCCCATCCTTCGATTCCAAGATTTTCTGTCTCAATCCATGCCGACTTCGAGAAGAATCCAGACCTGAGGGCAGAGCATAGTCTCATGGTCACAGAACAAGGCAGACACCATTTTTTTTATGGAGATTCTTTGGTGGCGATTGGTTGTTTGGGAGAAATCTTTTAATAATATTTTAAAATTGATTTTCATTGCATAGCATTGTTGTCGCTAAGGAAGGTTTGAACTTAATCCTAAACGATTTCAAAGTTCCAGCAGGCATTGTTGGTTGATTTTGGCACAATTTGGTTATTTTGGTTTGGGGTGGGCTTGGGTGGTTGTGATGATGGTTGGGTTACAGGAAGGTGGTGGCTGGCTGGCTGGGGTTAGGTGGGTGTTGGTTAGTTGGGCAGTCGAGTTAGGGGGAGAAGGGGAGAGAGGTTATATATTTATTTTAAAATTGTAATTTTCTTTAATTTATATTAATATTGTTTCTTTTTAAGGAATAAATTTTGGACTGAAATACCCCTTAATAAGTAACCAAAGTTAGAAAATTTGACAGAAATTGAGAATTGTCCTTAAATTGCTTCAAATTGAAACCACAGGGGCAAAAGTGATCAAATTGAGAATTGTCCTTAAATTGCTTCAAATTGAAACCACAGGGGCAAAAGTGATCAAATTGAAACTACAAGGACCTTAGTGGTAAAAATGGTAAACCATAGGGACCAAAAGTAACGTTTTGCCGAAAAAGAACTCTGTTGACCACCAAAAGACTGAACATGTGGTAAAGGCTGAGAAGGTGTAGGTAAAATACCTTGTGTGATCAAGACAGTCTTAATTATGTCATATTTGGGTGGTAATCCATTCAAAGCATTAATAATGAAATCATCATCAGAAATCTTGATACCAACAACATTCAGTTGATCTCGAAGATGTTTGAGACGAAGCAAAAATCGCTCGATAGAATCTCCACCTTTCTGTGCAGTTTGCAACTCAGTTTTGAGATGGTTGATCCGAGCGCGAGAAACTGAAGCATAGCGATCAGAGAGGTTGATCCAAGCGTCGCGAACTGTTTTGCATCCAATGATGTATTCAAGCGCCTCGTCAAACAGAGAAGCAATGAGTAAACTCAAAAGTGCCTTATCAGTACGAATCCACTCCTTATAAGCAGTGGTAAGCTTAGAAGTTTCGCCTTCCTCATCAACAATGGCGAATTGAGGAGGTGAAACCGAAGAACCATCGAAATGCCCAAAAAGCTCGTAGCCTTGAAGCACAGATTCGATCTGATAACTCAACTTCAAGAAGTTATCATCAGCAAGACGAATCGTAAGGAGGCCAAGAAGACTCTTAATTTTGAGAAAAGAAGAAGCCAGGAAGAAATTAGCTAGGGTTTTTAGAAATTTTGGATTCGAAGGAATCAGAGAAAGCTGAGAAATCTGAGAAATCGGAGAAAGCTGAGAAATGAGGAATTGCAGAGAGAGAAGAACAAGAGAGATGAAGGAAGCTAAGAGACTGAAGTGGAATATTAGATCTTGATCACCACCATGGGCGCTGATACCATGATATAACAGAAGAGGTATTTGAAAAACGAAGGAAGAAGAAGACTGAAAAACAGAGAGAATATATTGAGATTTTCTGTATCTTTTTCACTGAATGAATATTACAATGCACAGTTTAGCTTATATACAATTGTAAGGACTGAAGGCTTAAGTAACTAACAGCCACGCTTAACAGATGCCAACACTAACACGTGAATAGCACGTGGGTATTCTAACAATACTAAACTAACTTGAGCTGAGGTGTTCATCTATCCTGGGACGAATCCAGCTATTGGGTTGTATGGGCTATAGCCCATGCATTTTTTTAAAAAAATTTCAATACCCATGCTCTGTCTTTTTCTTATTTTCTTCTTTTCCTCCTTTCTCTCTTCTTCCTATTTCTTTTTGTTTTTCCGGCCTTTCTCTTGTTTTTTTTCCTTTGTTTCTCCTTCGTTTTTATTTTTTAATGGTTTGGATCTACTACGAACTGAGCTTTTTCCCACAGTCTCTTCTTCCTATATATATATTTTGCTTTTCTCTTGTTTTTTTTTCCTTCGTTTCTCTTTTTTTATTTTGTGTATCTCTTTTTTCTATCACACGTGTTCTAAAGTCCAACTTGGTGCAATTTGGCCTTCACTGCTGAAATTTCTTGCGTACATAAAGTAAATTTAGCCCACCGAGTTTTGAAATCCTGGATTCGTCCCTGCATCTATCAGAAACAACTTTCGAAAAGGTGAACTTCTCAAGCTTTTTCCTGAACGATGTGTGCATTTACTCTTTTTGTATTGTACATTCAGAGGAACCTCTGTTTAAAATAATAGTATTTCACACTGGAGGTGATTATTGTTGGCCCGCAGGCTTGCATTGAAATACTGACTAAAAGAATACTTATTGTTCCTGACTGCTATACTGCATCTCAACTACAAACCAGATTATTTTTATTTTGGTTCACCAGTTTCTTTGATGCCTTCACTGTAGATTTCTAGCGCTGGAATTTTACGATTAATTGATATATATGTAATAGTGTTTTCATTGAATTTATGTTTTTCCTTGCAGTTGGCAATGACAGTCTCATGCCTCTGTACAAGTAACGGAGAAGCATTTCCCGGACATGACATGCTCTTAAAAATTGGGTAAGACGTGCGTTGATACTAATATCTTGCTATATACATGTGTAGAAACATAGTCTATTGATCTCCTCTGGTCCTTGTTGTCTTGTCAAATGGGAGTGTTATGAACCTGAAGAGCGGCACTAGTTTTGGCTTTTGACTAAGAAAATATTGAGTGTTAAATAAAATGACTGCTTTCATTTCTTTTGTACTTTGCACATACTATTTTAGGTGATGGTCCCCCTCTATTTGAAGTTTTCTTTGATGCGGATGTCAGGTTGCATTTTTAAATGGTTTATGATGTCCATTTTCGAGTGCTGTTATTTGTGTCTGCAATTGCCTTTCGGGAGAATAGTTAGTGAGAACGATTAGAGGTTAATTTCTGGAGTTGATACTAACTTTATATAAGCATGGATTATTTAATATCTGAATTGTACATTTTTGGTAGTTGTAAGCTTGGGGAGTGCAGAATTGTTTTATGTGAATTGGGAGCAAAGCATAGGTTGCAGAAGTTGCAGCTCAATTTTCCGAGGTTAGTTTTTTCTCCCAAAACTTCTGATACCTATTAGAATTCTGTTTAATCCAGCTACTTTGAACTTTGGCTTTTATGGTTCACCCTTTCATGCAACTGCATTACCATCAGAAGAAAACCTTGGACTTTTCTGTGACCTCATATGATTTTATGTCTGTCTTTCAGCGACGATGTCGTATTTGCACTCAAGGACAGCAAGGAGCTACCTTGGTTGGCCAAGTATCTATGATTCTGGATTCAATCATTTTCGATTCTTCATTCAAAAGAACAGTTTTGACCCTCATTCTTCATTTGTTTCAGTTGCTACATTCGAGTCATTAATTTATGTCACTTCCAATTGGGATACCAACATCTTTATTTTCTTCCTAATAAATTATTGTATCACATTTGAGAAAGAAATTTTGGCAGAACATAACTTTAAGCATCTTTATTTAATTTGGTGAAACATATAACTGATGGTATGAGCTTCGCATAATATGAAATAAACCAATTAAAATATAAACTTATCTAAACTTTAAAAAAATAAAAATAAAAACTATTTAACATGAAGTCTTGAAAGTTGAAACCGCGTGCGAGCAACCTGGTAAACTGTCAATTGCAGAAAAGACTAGCTCCTTCCAAGCATTTAATTGTCATTATGCTATGCAGTGGCGGATCCAGAAATTTTCATTCCGGGGTCAAGGTGTAAAAGGTTAAAAAAAAAATATATACAAAATAGACCCATCGAAATGAAATGATAATATTTTAATTCACAGTTAATAGATAAAACCGTGCAAAATACTCAAGTTTATTATCAAAGAGAATTGCACCAACTTTAAAAAATAGACACACACTGCAATACACCAGAAATATCACTAAGAATGTGATAATAAACCAAAAAATTAGCGTTCCTCTTCACCTCCCAAGGCATCTCGTCTCGTCGTATTCGATGTAAGAGCTGTCATATATTAGCCCAATCCTTCGATGTAAGAGCTGTCATATATTAGCCCAATCCTACTCATTTTAGGGCATTTACATCATTTTTGAGGTCCATCGTCATTTTGATTTTGGGCTTTATCTGCATTTCTTTTGGGTTCTAGCTCTCAAACTTTGGACCTTTATGAGTACTGTCTTAGGGGGAGCTTATTCAAGCAAATATTTCTTCAATACGTCAGAGTTAAGTTATTCTTGTAAAACTCTTTGTGGATTGAACATCTAAGGCTTTTTGCCTAGATTGACCTTAGGTCTCTTCATGCATTCATATCATACATGAAAAATTGTTTTATGTAAAAATATTGGTATGAAAGTTGGTTTTTCTTAATAATCATTTTCTCAAGATAATTTTTGGCAGCTTTTATTCCTTACACATTAAATAAGAAAACTTGATTTTATGGAATTTTAGTATGAAGTATATATTGACCTAATGAGCCATCATTTTTAGCCTAAATCTTATTCTGCACTAAAACCGATTTTTCATATTTTGATTTGGTAGGAATTTGATTTTCTCTTATTTTTATTTGAATCCAAATGGGGGGTATTTTCTTATTTACATTGTAAACTTAAGTAAATGGAGTAATATAAAAATAAATGAGAGTAAAAGGACAAAGAAATTTATTTAAATGCTGAAAATAGAAATAAGGTAATCTGCCTTCTGTGTTTGTGGCAATTTGCAGAGGTTAACATCTTCACCTCTAATGATGAACTACGGGTTTAAAGGGTAAAACTGACCACTCTGTGAATCCCCCCCTGCTATGATCCCTGCTAGAGTAGAATACAAATTTGACTTAATTGAATTCCAATTAAAACAATAAAACTAACTAACATCTAACCCTGTTAATAATAAAGTGAATGTGGGTGAGATGTGTTTCCGAAGTGAGGGAAAAATACCACCACGGCCGGTGTACCCCCCGGGGCTAGGTTCGGAGTTGCGAACGAAGGCCCGAATACCATGTTTAGCGGTGATCCCGAATAGCTCAGGGGCTTGGTCTGATCGATCAATAGTAGGTGGAGAAGACAGGGTAGAATTGCATGCACGAATATTGATAGAAATAATGGAAGAGAATAAAAGCATGAAAAGGAAGCAGCCATGTTGGATTGGGTGATGAGACTGCACTAGCATGTTTCTTCGTGAATGCGCCATGTCTTTTTGAAAGATTTATTTTGCCGACAGACAGCTGGGTTGTATATAATTTCTATGCTAATGGTTTGTATATATAGAAGCAGCAAGTTGGATAGTGCGTTGGGGGGCAATAAGATAAGTGTAAAAAAATATTTTTTTTTATTGGAGTTAGGCACCGTAATTTCAATTAAGTGCTGCTCTTTTCACCCCGTAATTCTATTTTCGTATTCACCTTATCTTCAAAATTTTAAAGACAAATTTACCCTTTTGTAAAATAATTTTTAAGAACTTAGAAAAAAAAAAACCTTATTCTCCCTCATCCCGTGTCAAACCATGCAATATCTTAATCATGATCAAGATCATCTTAAAACAAGTTCCTAGACATGACCAACATAAAGGGATTTGATCCTTTTTCTTATTTGCGGCTGGACTTGGAAAATAGAGAGAATTTTCTTCTATTTTTTCAACCTCGGAGGCTTTGGATATGTGCCAAATCTATTTCATCTTAAAACAATCAAATAAAATTTATTGTCCTCATCATTTGGCTCGCAGGCTCATGGGTCGATGGGCCCGTCCGGCCCATCGAGAAATAGCCCAACCCGGCCTGTTATGGGCTTTGGGATGGCCCGATCTTTATTGGGCTGGACTAGGTTTGGGCTTGGGTGTCTGAAGCCCAGCCCAACCCATAGACCAGACTCGATTAAGCCCAAGAAAGCCAGGCCTAGCCCGCCCACAAAAGCTCAACCCGTTAGGCCCGCATACATATATAATTATGTATAACTAAGGGTTTAAAATCTAGCAATTAAAATAATATATATACTTTTTTAATATTACTAACAACATCAAAATCGTGCACTAAATTTGAATCTCAAATAATGGGACATCTACCTAACATATCATCAATTTTTAATTTTCTGTATAATATGGCAGATCTCCAAAAAGTTTAAAATTTGGCAATTAAAATAATATATATACTTTTTAAATATTACTAACAACATCAAAATCGTGCACTAAATTTGAATCTCAAATAATGGGACATCTACCTAACATATCATCAATTTTTAATTTTCTGTATAATATGGCAGATCTCCAAAAAGTTTAAAATTTGGCAATTAAAATAATATATATACTTTTTAAATATTACTAACAACATCAAAATCGTGCACTAAATTTGAATCTCAAATAATGGGACATCTACCTAACATATCATCAATTTTTAATTTTCTGTATAATAACTAAATTTGAATCTCACATAATGGGACATCTACCTAACATATCATCAATTTTTAATTTGATTAAATTACCACGTGGCTTAAGTAACGCAAGAGTCATTAATTTTATTAAGAAAAATGAAATAAATTAATAGAAAGTTAACCAAACTCGTAAGTAGGCAGTTATAAACCCAATTAGCCTCTCCAACTACACGCCCGAAAAGTACCATTCTGTTATAAACTATATGTAATGGATGCTCACCATGCTTTAGTGTACCTAATGTATGTCACATCATACGCAACTATACCTACCATATGACTCACCCTCCCAATTACTCACTATATTATATTTGTAATTAGTGGTAAATAGGCACTCAATGAAGATGAAATATACGAGCTTGAGAAGAGAAATTCTATAGTTATTCTCTTCCTCTTTAATTCTCTCTTGATTCTCTTAATTTTACCACATGTTATCAGCACGAATATCTCTAAAATACCAGCTGAGATATTCGATCAAAACACTCTACTTCATTGCTTTTTTTTCTTGGGTTTGGTTGAGTTGCTCATGCTCTTCTGTGTATCAATATAGCTTCTGTGATGCTTTAGTTCTTCCCTACTTTTCTCAGTCACCCAGTTCCAGACAATATAGCTTCTGTGCTGCTTTGTTATTCCCTACTTTTCTTAATCACCCAGTTCCAGACCCTTCCATTTGTACCTATTTCTTCTGGTGTCTTATCACCATCAACGATTAGTTTAGTGGAGTGAGATGTAAAATATGGTAGCAGAGATAATAGTCATGGATATCCTGGTGTTTGCGATTCAACTGCACTTGCTGCAGCTAGTGAAGTTTGCAGGTGGAAAGAAGAAAAGCCAACATGATATGTCTAGCTTTCAAACTAATATATTAGTATAATAATATTATTTTATTTTATCATGGTATTGAGAAGAACCCACCGAAAAAAAAGGTGTTGAAGTTGCCAGCCCAAACTATATATATATATACTATTATATAATATGTATACTATATAGTTTTATGATTCACTAAAATATATTAAAAGATAACATGAATCATGGAAATTATTTAATATCAAATATTAATTGGTTATCTCACTTTAATTACAGCTATATATTCCTTTTTATTATGGATGATTTCATCTCTTATTTATTTTTAGTGGAGCGGTTTTTATCCCTCACATTTATTTTCAAGTGGCGTGGTTTTATCCCCCACATTTGTCTTTAAGTGGCGTGGTTCCCACATTTATTTTATCGCATATTTACTTTTATTTAAAGTATGGTGTAGAATTAATACCCATACAAGTACATTTATTTTATCGCCTATTTACCTTTATTTAAAGTATGGCGCGGAATTAACGTCCATACAATAAGTAATTTACTTTACGAATTTATTTTACCGCACATTTACTTTTATTTAAAGTGTGGAGCGGGCTTACGAATCCACCGTCGTGTATCATGTTTTAAAACCGACGTGAAATCGACCGCCATCTTTTAATACATAAAATAACGATGGAAAATAACCGACGTCGTTAACATATTACACGTAAAAAAGAACACTAAAACCGATGTATAATTCATACATAAATAGCTTAAAAAGACAACTTCTACTATATTAGACGACGGTTTTAGTAAAACACAGACGTTTAAATAATGTTAAATGTCGAGAACAACTACAAACCCGACGTAAAACTGATTATCAATGCCTTTAATAGAAATAAAACCGACGTGTAAAACCTAGAAATCGTCGTGGTTAATATATACTACGTTCACTAAGTAAAAAAACTGACGTCTAAAACATATACCATGGTCAAT